ATAAAGGTACTTTGAAATATCATTTAATACACAAGGCAGTCCTTCTGATTCCAATAAAGAATTATCAGCCCACAATGTCATAAATACCATAGTGAAAGAAATAATATAGAAAAGACTTTCTATATTGTATATGAGGTAAGAGTAGTATGAACAAAAGCAGCGGTCTCAGAAATTTAACAAGGATTTAAGAGAGGACACTTAACTGCTAAGAAAAGCCAACTGAACAAACAAACAAACAAAAAATGCTAGACAGTGATGGTGCACGCCTTTAATCTCAGCATTTGAGAGGCAGAGGCAGGTGGATCTCTGTGAGTTCGAGGCTAACTTGGTCTACAGAGCAAGTTCCAGGACAGCCAGAGCTGCACAGAGAAACCCTATCTCAAAAAACATATGTATGTATGTTTAAAAAAAAAAAGAGGAACGAGAAACCAAGTGAAATTTTAGTGTAATTGCTATAGGAGTTTGCAGGGGGATATATTTGTTATATTAAGTAGCCACTCTTGTGCTTGCATTTATACATGTGTGTGCATGAGTGTGTTAGAGCAAGATTACCATGGAGGGTATGGTAATATCCAAGAGACTGTTTCATTTCCCAAAAATAGAAAAAAATTGATTTTGATGTAATATTTAGGAGTTTTTAGGGTTAAGGCTATATATAACTCAGTGGTAGTGTGCTTGCCTAGCATGCACAGGGCCCTGGGTTCAATCCCTAGTACTGGCAAAAAAAAAATTACTACGTATATTAAAAGCAAAACTAGGTTTCTTTTTTCTTCTGTGTGTGTATTCTTGGACAAGTAAAGAGTTGGGCAAAATATCCAGGAATGGTCCTTTGGAAAGGAGAATTATTTTCTAAAGATACTCACTCAGTCTTTTGGTTTCTTTTTCCTTCTCAGGAACTTCGAGGAGTGTCCAACAGTTTCTGGCTATGTGTGACAGGGATGAAACTCCCCAAGGGGTCAAGTACACAGGAAGGACTTTGAACTACCGAAGTCTACCCCATCGTTCCAGAACTGATGCTTCCTGGGGACTAGGACCAGAGACCAACCAGCATGTTGGGACCAGTGTTCTAACTAGGCCAGCATGCAAGCCTCAGCTAACCTACACTGCCACACTACGAGAACGAAGCCAGGTTCCTCATGCTCAGTCCTGGGGGAATCTTTTCCATTCACCCTCGCATCTTCCTGTTGTTCACCCAGTGTCCCCACCATCCAACAGTCTTCATCTACCCCTTAGGTCAGCTTGGAATTCAGGTCCTGTTCTGGGGTCCCGAACAGTTGGCCCTCGAAGAATAGATATGCCCCCAGATAATGACTGGAGACAGGACAGTTACCCCTCCCAGCATAGGCACAGGAGGAATGAAGAGGAGAGAATTACATTTATTCTATCAAATGCCCCTGGAAGAGAACAGAACAGGGTGAGATTTTTACAGCACAGCAGGTGGTAAGGATAACCTGTAACCTTTCTGGAGCCATACCTTTCTCTATAAAACGGTACCATGGCAGAGTTGATGCCTTGTGTCCTGCCAGTTAGGCTATAATCATCTCAACATAAAACTGGCAGTCATATGCCTGCAATCCTAACAGTTTGGAGGTAGAGGCAGGAGAAGCAGCAGTTCAAGGCCAGAGACTTTGAACTCTTACCAAACAGAATCACCACAACAAAAGAATTGTTGGCTTTTTCTAAGGGTGCTTGCTTCTTTGAGGGAGAATATTTGAAATTCCAGCTTTAGAACTGGGGCTGTAGCTCAGTTGGTAGAGTGTTTTCCTAACATGCACAAAGCCCAGGTTTAGATCCTTAGCACCATGTAAAACTGGTCATGGGGGTGCACACCTATAATTCTAGCACTTGGGAGGTGGAGGAAGGAAGATCAGAAGTTCATGTTCATCCTTGGCTACGTAGCAAGTTCTAGGCTAGTCGGCTTCATAAGACCCTATGTGGGGGACAAAAAGGAAAAATCAAACTTTGGCTCCTCTGAGCAGCTAATGCTTAGGGCTATATTTGAGCCATTTTAAAATTGAATCTATTTTATTACTCTGGACACTAGCTATTCCTTAATGTTTAAAGACATTATTTTATTCTTGGTTAAGTTTAGGCCCCCATCTCCAGCTTAGTCCTCATCTTTTGGTCCCAACTATATTCCCTACTTATACTACTTAGTTATTACCTGGACTCTTCCTTGTAGTCACTAGTCTTACTGCATCCTAATGGGAAGTTCAACTGCCAGATGTTATGGCTGTCAGCCTTTCTTGCGACTCAGACTTTAGGCCTAGAATGTGGAGCTGCCAACAGAGTATTTGCCCTTCTGAACAGATGGACTTGGGCTTACTAACACACCCTCCTGTCCTCAGCAGCAATGCCATTACTGCCACTCCTTTGATCCCTGTTGTAAACTCTCAGAGTCAGTTAAACTATTTTAGGGCAAAGCATACTGTTTTTGTAAAGTATTTTTCATTAATAAATCTATAAGATAGTTCTATTTAATCTTTTGTCTTTCACTTTTGTATGTTCTTGCTCTTTTCTTCTGGGATCGGGAGATCTGGACATTTATATAAAATGGCTTCTGACCAAATGAAAATGAATAACCAAAGAGGAGTTGAAAAATACGTAGTTAACTCTCACAGTTGTTATGGCTGTTAGCATGTTGCCTATCCCTTTCCTGCCTGGACACTCGGTACATTACATACTTGATTCTTCCCCTTACAGAGGAGATTTTTCTGGGCATTCAAATTACCCCGACATACTCCTGGTACAAGTACACTCTTGGTGCCCTTTCTCTTTCCATTACAGGTTTGTGATGTGCCTCCTATCCCTTGCTCTTTGCCTGTCGTTCCACTCCTTCTCTTTTCCCCTTAAGAGTCAGAACATCTATGATAATAAGATCTATCTTCACCTATGACACATTTCCAAAGCTCCCTTTCCTTTAAAGGATACTTTGTGGTGCCTGGAGAGACGGTCCAGTGCTTAAGAAACAGGATGTTCATCCACTGGACCTGGGTTTGATTCCCAGCACCCACATGGTAGTTCACAACCTTCTTTAGCTCCAGTACCAGGAACTATAACTACCTCTTCTGTCCTCTGTGGGGACTGAACACGTGGTGCGCTCACATCCGTGCAGACAAAACACACCCTGGCAAGAAAAGGAACTGGATTTTCTGTCCTTATTTATCCCAGATCTCAGGCTCATTGATTGACACAAGTAAAAGATTGCTCTAGTGCTTCTCCAGTCATCAGGGACGATCCTACACTATGTGACACTTGGGCCTTAGTAGATACGCTGGCCCTGACCACTTCACTGCTGCTGCCATGCACACTCTTCTAATCTTTGTAAAAATGCACTTAATTTGTGTCTATGTGAGGGGGACACCCAAAGGGCAGAGAATAAGTCGGGGCTGCTTCTCTCCTTTCAGCTTATACGCCCAGTGATCCCATCATTAGGTTTGGTGGCATATGCCTTTACCATCTGTGCCATCTCACAGTTTGTCATCATTGAGGAGTCTGTTCTTGTTCCTTGACCTCATAGATGTTGGTCAACTTGATCTGTTTATGTAAGTTGTCCCGGCACAAAGATATAAGAACTAATTTCCAATTTTGTAGTCTCTGTTTCCAACTTTTTTCATATATATGAGTATATATAGTTAGTGTATGTGTATACACACACATACATACTTATGTACACACACACATGCATATAAAAATTTTACCCCTGGGTGAGTTAAGAGGGAGGCTATGGCTTTCCCAGGTGAACCTTACAGATTCTTTAAATATCTTTAAGGTGTCATTCCCACAGTTCCCATGACCGGTGCTTAGATTTTTTTCAGCTTAACTTAAAGGCCTTCATACTCTTGACCCTTCCAAACTCCAAATGCAAGGGTCAGAATAATATTCTGACCACACCCCTGTCACCTTTTCTTTTGAGACAGACACTCGCTTTGTTGCCCTGACTGGTTAGACTGGGCTATAGACTTGAACTCACAGAGTTCCTGCCTTCCTCTGTTTCTCTAGGATAAATTCTATTTTAAATGATAATGCCACTTTTTTACAGTCTACAATGCCTCCTTCATTCTTATCTCAAGTCACACAGTTATGGTTTTGTAGGTAAATTGTCATATATTTGACTGTCAAGACTGCATGCAAGGAATTTTCATCTGATCCCTTGGCCTGCTCTCGTTTCGGTAGTAGGCACGGTAATTTTGCTCAAGTCCCTGGAGCCTGTCCCGCCCCCGCCCCCGCACGCGCGGTGCATGACGGTCTTAGCCCCTCTGAAGGGAAAGAGGGTCCGCCATGTTCCTCGGCGGCACCGCCGCTTGGCTCTGGTAGCCGCCGCCCCC